CTTACAGAAAGACAAGATCATACTTTGTATGCTTTATTAAACAAATTGCCACCACAGCGGCCAGATCGTACGTCAACGTCACCGTCGCCATATTGGACCTCATATATACTGTCAATGATCAGGTCAGAGCTATTGATAAGAATAAGATATTTATTAGGGCCCGAGCACTGCCCATGCAAAGACCCTATTGTATCTGTAGGAATAATTATTATTATTATTCAGAAATTTCAATAGCCTTTTTGGGGGCCTTATTATGTTTAAGCCAATGAAAAGGCCTGAAGATTTAACATTCAGCCAATCAGGATGGGTTTAACATTCAGCCAATGAGGATGCCAGTCATGGCGTAACATTTCCTATTTTCTAGGGGTCCACTTGAGCATGGCAAAATTGCCCCTCAGGGGCCTATAAACTGTACCAACCGGGGCCCCTTTCACTGATATGCATAAAAATTGGCACACACGTAGATCTTATCCAGACAAACAAAAAACAGGGTTAAACACAGTTTTAGTGATTTCACCAATATGAAAGCCTTAAATATTCAGCCCATCAGGATGGTTTTAACATTCAGCTAATGAGATGCATATAACAATTAGCCAATGAGGAGGGTTTTAACATTCAGCCAATGAGGATGCATGTAACATCCAGCCAATGAGGAGGCCTTTAACATTCAGCCAATCAGGACTGCTTTAACATTCAGCCAATTTGAAAATACTTAACAATCAGCCAGTCAGTAGGCATTTACCATTCAGCAAATCAAGAAAAATTGCTAATTAAGTGAAAAAAATAGCCAATCAGGATGGATTTCCCAATGAGCAAATCAGTATGCATGTGACATTCAAGCTATTAGGAGTCATGTAACAATCAACCAATCAGGATGCCTTTAACAATCAGCCTATCAGGATGCATGTAAATATTATTCAATAACGTGCATTTAATAATCAACAAATCAGGAAGGATTTAACATTCAGCCAATGAGAATGCATATAACAAGCAGCCAATCAGGATGCCTTTAACATTCAGCCCATCAGGATGCATGTAATAACCAGCTTATCAGGAGGAATTTAACATTCTATCAATCAGGATTCATGTAACAATCAGTCGGTCGGGATGTATTTAACAATCAGCTAATCAGGATGCATGTAACAATCAGCCAGTCAGGAGGCCCTTAAAATTCAGTGAATCAGGATGACTTAAACATTCAGCCAATCAGGGGACCTTTAACATTCATCCAATCAGGATGCATGTAACAATCAGCCAATCAGGATGGATTTAAAAATCAGCCAATCAGGATGCATGTAATAATAAGCCAATCAGAATGTTTTTAAAAATCAGTTAATCAGGATGCACATAACAGTCAGCCAACCAGTATGCATGTAACAATCAGCCAATCAGAATGCATGTAACAATCAGCCAATTAGGAGGACTTTAACATTCAGCCAATCAGGATGGCTTTCACATTTAGCCAATCAGGAAGAATTTAACATTCAGCCAATCTGGATAATTATAACAATCAGCCAATCAGGATTTATTTAACAATCAACCAATCACAATGCATGTAACAATCAGCCATTTAAGACGCCTTTGAAATTCAGCCAGTCAGGATGCATTTAACATTCAGCCAATCAGGATGCATGTAACAATCAGCCAATAAGAATGCATGTAACAATCAGCCAATCAGGATGCATGTAACATTCAGCCAATCAGGTGCACTGTAACATTGCGTTTAAGTGAACAAATTAGCCAATCAGGATGGATTTCCCAATCAGCAAATCAGGATGTATGTAACGTTCAGCCAATCAGGATGGGTTTAACATCCAGCCAATGAGGATGCATGTAACATTCAGCCAATGAGTATGTCAGTCATGTTGAAACATTTCCTATTTTCTTGGGGTCGACTTGAGCATGGCAAAATTGCCCCTCAGGGGCCCCTTTCACTGATATGTATAAAAATCAGCACAAACGTATATTTTATCCAGACGAACAAAAAACAGGGTTAAACACAGTTTTAGTGTTTTCACTAAAACTTCTTCAATATTCAGCCAATCAGGATGCATGTAAGAAACAGCCAATGAGGATGGATTTCACATTCACCCAATCAGGATGCATGTAACAATCAGCCAATCGAGATAGATGTAACATTCATGCAATGAAGATGCCTGTAACAATCAGCCAATAAGGATGCATATAACAATGAGTCAATCAGGAAGAAGTCAGGATGCAGGTAACAATCAGCGAATCAGGAAGCATTTAACAATCAGCCAATAAATCATAAGCAGCGTGTAACACTCAGCCAGCCAATCAGGAGGTGTGTAACACTCAGCCAGCCAATCAGGAGGCGTGTAACACTCAGCCAGCCAATAAGGAGGCGTGTCACACTCAGGCAGCCAATCAGGAGACCTTTGACCGTTAGACAGCCAATCAGGAGGCGTGTCACACTCAGCCCAGCCAATAAGGAGGTGTGTAACACTCCAGCCAGAAAAATAGGAGGCATGTAAGCAATCATCCAGCAAATAAGGAGGCAGTGTAACAATCAGCCCAGCCAAGCGGAGGAATGTGTTAACACTTCAAGCCAGCAAATCAGGAGGCGTGTAACACTCCAGCCAGCCAAACAGGACGTTATTTGACACACAGCCAGAACAATCATGAGGTGTGTAACAGTCAGCCAGCCAAACAGGAGTTATTTGACAGCTCAGCCCAGGCAATCAGGAGCGTGTAACACTCAGCCAGGCAATCAGGATGCGTGTAACACTCAGCCAGCCAATCAGCGAGGCGTGGTAACACTCAGGCAGCCAATCAGGGAGGCGTGTAACACCCCAGTCCAACCAAGGAGGCGGTTGGACACTCAGCCAGCGCAATGTGCAAAAGTGGCAGGATGAGGAAACACTGGTGAGCCAGTCCAATCAGGAGGCGTGGAACACGCAGGA